TGACAAGATAGACAATCTGTTTCCGGTTCATAAAATAGCCACGTGGCCATCCGGACAGGCGGGAGCGGGGTTATATTGCGTTGGTTTCGTTGCATGAGTAGCAAGTTCCTACCGCTGGAGTTGAACGCGTTTTTATATTCCGCAAAACATTTGAGCTATAGTCTGTGCTTCAGGTCTATAGAGTTTGCAATGGAATGCACTAGACAATAGATGCCATCGACGGTTGAACGCTGCTCGCGACATGCAAACTGGTTGGAGCCATTACTGTTTTTCGGGCATTCGAGACAGTTTGTTACGATATGTTGCGGAGTATTCAATAGCGCCACCGTCGAGACGATTTGGGTAAACTTTCCTTTTTTGAGTAGAGGGGGGGGTGGTGGTGCGAGTAATTGGTTGGAGATATTAAGCCTCAAATTGCGAATAACATCTTGGTTGAAAATGAGTTATTATGTGGGCGCTTTACAATCGCGTTATAACAAGGAAGGTCCATATGTGAGAATAGAATGAGTTGTTAAGATGTCCTGGATAGTTCGGGAAGTGCCCAAAAAGTGGGTTTTATTCCTTTACAGAGCTCACGGCCTGACCATATAGTTGGTTAGGATAGGCTATTTCTTCCTTGGTTTGGATGCTTCGCATTGCCACGGTTGACTCACCGTGAAACCTATAAGCTTTTTCTTTGTTCTACCGTAGTCTCTTCAGTTTGTCGGACACAAGGATCCTGGTGAATTTGAATTCGCAGGTTTGAAAAGCATAGCTCGTAGAAAAAGTTTGAATAGCTTGAGTCATTTTCACAATGTTTCGGAGTCAAAGAATAGAGCTAGGTGAGCAGTTTCAACCATTACATCCAAATAATTGGGATGATGCTAGCGCATTTGGTACATGCGGTCGAATAAATTGGTTAGCCTTTTAGCGACAGCTTTTCAGTAAATCTTTGATTGCACAATGGTCTAACTTTCCTAACGGGTACATCCATAATAGCACGGAGTACCAAGGGATCGTTTCTGAGAATCGACCGAAGTGAGCATTATTCCTGGTGGGAGAAAAACTGGCAACGTTGCGAGCAGACATCAGCTCTGTTGAAATCACATGCGACTATAAAAGCCATGTCTCTAACTTTCGAAGTAGCATAGCACGAAATGAATAAAGGAATAAGGAAACTTCGGATGATCACGATCAGGGGTAATGCACAAATTTTGCAGGACAATGGATGACCATCTCACCAAAAACGTGGTTTACCTTCCAAAGTTAGACAATTGATGTGCTGCGTTTAGAGTGAATTTACACTTAACGGAGTTACACAAATTGTGGGCGATATAGATAATAGCATCCCAAATTCTGGTTACGTCAGGTTGTCTATCCGCAGTAAATACCTTCCTGTCTTCAACGACTGATTGAAGTCAGGATTTTCGAAAAAAGTAAAATGTCACAATCGGAGCATTCCTTCAGTGGCAGAGATTTCGGATAAAACGGAACACACGTTCCCGGACACGATAATGGAAACATTCAGTTTTTGCACCTTTTCTTGATAATGCTATTTTCCAGCTTGCATCGCTTATCAAAGGTATTTTGCATAATCCGTTTACTTCTGATAAAGTTAGAGCAAACACGTACCAGAATTTTGCTAATTTGCACAGAGAATCCTTATCAGGTGTCCCAGTCAAGTAGGTCTTCCTGGACAGTGACCAATGATATAGATGGCTAGAGACAGTTACAGTCAACACTAGCGCTTAATTTCTTTGTAACCTAAGTCAAGCTGAACTTCACATTACTTTTCATACTTTACATTTCATAATGATGTTTCTTCTAGCATTCCAATTCTTCTTCCATCCCAATAGACTGCCAGAACCGCCGAGCGAAAACGAAGTTTAATGGTTGTATAACGCGGCAGTTCTCATGGATCAAAGTCAACTTTCATGCTAATCGTCAGAAATTATAGTTTACCAACCCAAGGATTCGATATTAGAATCCACTGATGCCATTTGATCACATTTCGTGGCGAACCGTTATTAGGTAGCAGACTTCTTCGTGTAAATGAACTGCATGCATACGAAATATCAAATAATTCATACACCCCCTTACTGGATTACCCATAGTATCCACACACACACAGAGATTATCTACGTTTTTATCTGTTTCCTTGAGTTGTGATTTTGTGACCTATAAAAGTGCTGTATTCGGCTTGTAAATGATGCACCGAAAACGAGCTTATTTGCCAAATTGTCTTCTTGAATTCTTCTATAGCTCGTAGAGGATAATTACTATCGTCTATGCTCCTCTAGTAGATCGATACTCACTGAAACTTCACTTGAAATTATTTTTTAAATTACCCCTTGGTTAAGCGAAAACTTTGATTTCATTCGAGACAGTGAAATCCGTAACATCTCCGTTCGATACTAAAATGACAGTCAACTCCTATACCTGAAATCAGTCCAGGGCAATGAGGCAAGCGCCTCGTTATACACCAAAAATGAACATTGCTCAATCCGTTTGAAAGCTCCATTTGGTGAAGACAACCATATGATGCGTCAGTGGTCTATTGATTGCTCGAAATGTGGGTACGTTCGTGAGTAGAAGATAATGGCCAATTTCCCAAGTCACAGCTGTATGATGACCACCGTGATCGATTGCGAAAAAAGGACGGTTGAAGAGCGTATTCAGTTTTAGTTGTACTAGTTGTAATTCCAACACCCGAAGGAAACGGATTGTGTCCCTAAACTTAACGTAACAATTCACAAATCTGACGTAGCAATGTATAACGAGAACAAGAAAGATGGGCTATTCATGCAGGACTCAAGTGAACCATTCACAGTTGAGAACATCATAGGTACCCTTACTTTTGACAGACGGATTTGTGGATAACGCAGAAACTATCAAAATACAGATGATACGTGCACAGGTACCATACCACGCGGATAAAAATGCTAATCGGAAAACACGATGCTAATAATCCGGGAAAGATGGTGACTTCCCGATGGTACAATCAAACAATCAGTTCTAGAGAAAGCGGTTCCCAAGATCTCATACGGGCAATATATTAATTTAGGAAAGATTCGCAGCGGGACTACAAGATAGTCCGAAGTCCAGGTTAAAGATTTTATTCTATACCAATGAGTTTTTGGGTGGTGTGCTCGTAAAAACACCCTATTATTGATCAACAATCTCTTTAGCGAAAAATATTTGCGATAGGCTGAAATGTAGGTTCACACATGAGCTCAGATTAGTGTATTTCTTAGATCTGTCACACGAGGAATTCCCAGGGTAACGGAATGGCGAAGAGACGGTGGACTGCCGTGGAAGCATATAATCCTAGTTGTGCAGGTGATTAGTACCGTGTTCAACTAGAATGTTAAACATGAGTGCCATCACACAAATCCTTTTCGCAAACACTAAAACGATCGATTGGGAGAACAAATAGGCGGCCAGTTATTTGGAGTCATAGTGAAACAAGTTCCGATCTAATTGAGGAATAACTGGATGGGTTTTTATCCATTGAATAGGAGTCGGGTCTGCGGCTTGCAAAGACCAGACCGTAAGTATCAACGTGGTGTCTATTTACTGCTATCTATGAGAACATTTCGAAATATTTGACAGAAAGTGTGGGCGAATGAACGTAGACTGGATGGCGAATGAGGTGGTAGAACGTTAAGCAGCATTCTATCAGATCGTGTGAACAGGAAGTATCAAAAAATAGATCGAAAGGCCCCAGATGCAATTGTGCCTACAGATGAACCCCCGGTCGATGCTGCTACGTATCGGTAGCTTGCGAGGCAAAACGAGAAACACAATACAGCATCGCAGTCATATTGCATGAGATACGGAACACAAAATCGATCTACCGTTAGGTGGAGAGGAGGGGTAAAGGATAAGAAAAGCGAAAGACAACTAGGACACACATGCACATCTGGAGTAGTGCGCAGCCCCTGTGGGCCACGCGAATGACTTGTGCCTCACAGAAGACAGAATCAAGACCGGTTTCTGCTAAACACACACACACACACGGGTGCCTCGAGAAATGCGCCTGTGAGACATGAGAGAAAGGAAAGGCGCACAAGTTAAGACAATTGAAATCTAGCGTTCGGGAGAAGAAGATCCATATGTGGCATGAGAAAAAAGAGAATAGGTATGCGCACTGTCGCAGTGTGCTGTGTGTGTGTTGCATAAATCAACGGCCAAGTGCGCAAAGTAAGCAGTAGTAAGTGCGCGCACCCGTTGAAATCAACGCCAGCAATGTATTTCTACTTCAAGTCCGAGTTCCTGTGCAATCACACCGTCAATGTTTTGAGAGTCCACGAAAATGTACAAATCGACTCGGAGCACAACGCAGCGAAACAAGAGAGAAAATGCACGTGGGCACGCCGAATGATGATTGAGGATGACAGTGAGAGACGTGCACAGTGAAAATGTTTTTCGATGAACTTTAAGGCAATCTATACACAAAGACACTGGGTTAGATAAAGGTGATAAACAAGATTACCTATCGGTCGGCTAGTAGCGAACGCGTCAAACCGCCGTGGATTAGATCAAACACTTGCAGTGTGGGTAAAGGATAAGCTAGTTGCACGCTGTTTCGCATGTGAATGTTACAAAACGTTTCATTTACACAGGACCAGCAACTGGAACAAATGATGCTGGGAAATGGCGGGGTAAGTGGACAGTGCAGGATGAGCAGATTCACCGACAGTGATTGTCTTGGGCAGCATTCTATCAGTGGCGATGTACTTTGCCGTTCAACGAACGAACGAACGCGGGTCCAGATCACACTCGCCCAATCAACCCTGGGGCAGCGGACAGTCTTAGACCGCCGACATGGAATTATATCTGACGGGAGAGGGAGGGTGCATAAATCGGCCGGACTGACGCGCATGAGGATTACAGTACTATGGCAATGTTTGCGCGCTAGATCGAGATAATGTGATCGAAGCTTGCGGCGGCTTCAAAGGCGATAATCAGGAGAAACTTAAGTGTACGAAACTGAAATGTACACGATGACAAGCGGTTGATCAGTTGGGTGGATTCAGACTGAGTGGTTGTAGAGAAGGGCATGGAGTGTGTGAGGGTTGAGTCGTCGCGAAGGCAGATGCCTGATGACCGGAAGAGATATGTGAGGACTGAGGTAGGGTCGAAATACCGCTTGCCGGAGTGAAGGTAGGTATCATACATGAGTTAGGTGGAATGCCAACCGGACCAGGAAGAGATGAGGTATCCAGGTTGTGCCTGAAAATAAGGAAAATAATGAAGGTAAATAACCAGGAAAATCAAATTCAACGGGGCTGTTTTCAAACTGAATTACGACAACCGAGACGAGTGAAATTCGATATGTTCGAGTATCTCAGATATTGTCTGCAATACATGAGGCGCCCAACTGCATCATACAATATCGGGAGTTCGGTGTTGTTCGAAGAGACTGGTACGAATACCATCACTGCAACCGCTTGCCCCTTCCTGTTTTTTCCGATGATTATCACTGCAGACTTTGATTTGTTGAACTTGCTAATTTGGTACCACCTCCACTATCTTGTGGAACCCGATCAACCATGTTTACTTTCCATTACCCTGGAAATCTAAAAACTTGTCAAGCGATGACGTTCAAATTAATCGTAAATATGCAAGTGATTCATTGAACTGCAAGTGGATTGGTATCCAGCATGGTAAATTTACCGGTGTATTCTGGGCCAAGAACTTTAGTTGCTGCATCAGAAAAAGGACTACGCAGAACAACGCGCATAGAAAAGGTGAAATTGAATGGAAGAAGTACACAGGGCAGCTTTATCAAACTCTAGTCAAGACAGCGAAGCGCAATGAGAGCTGGCCTTGTAGAAGTCCGCAAGCACCCATTTCAGCGTCTAATCAATCGAATCAGTGGACGTTAATGAGTGTGTTGTACTGTTTTACTTTTGAGCAAAATCATTTCTTAGGTGTTAATAAAAAATTCAAGCGTCACGCGCATGGGGTATCTACCGCCTAGTGCTATACGACATACAATAGATTGAGCCTCCAGTTAGTCAGCATCAACGATCGGGAGNACTCAAAGCAGAAAGCAACTCACTTTAGTTGGGCTTTTGGTTTCAGGTAATCATCGTTGCACAGCTGAAAGACATCTGGGCGCAGCTCTTTACGATACGTGCAACATTTGCGAATGAATTCCTATGCGAAGAGAAGCGAGAGGTGAACACGTCAATCGATGAGTAAGTGACATACAAAATTAGTATTAGCAAATAAGACACCGCAAATAATAGAAGAATGCCTCACCTTTGCGCCATCACTGACTTTCGTAGACGATGGAAACACAATATTCCGCGCATGTAGGATAGTATTCTCGTGCAGGATATCGGCCTGGGACATATTGTGTCCGAAAGGCTGAGAGAACAAGAGTGAAAAGCAGGCGTGCAGCCGACAATGAATCGCATTCGAATGACTATTGAGTAAAGTAAATGCGATAAATGTATTGTCAGAAAGAATTGACATTTGGAGCAGCCAGAGCAAGAAAACTTGGAACACTTGATTATTCAGTGGGGACTGAACTAGGAGCTAATGCTGACAGATTCACTGAGAAAAACGAATAGCAATGTTCAGCATGAGAAGACATCATCATTATCGCCTTTGCTGCACCACCGTCTTTGGTCACGAAACTACCTAAGTAGCAAAAGTAATTCACCACAACTAAANAATAGACGAAACCCAATCCTGCAGCATCGCTTTGCACTTACCGGATGAGCCTACTGCACTTGTCAATCTATCAAGTGCACTTTGCGCGTCCTCCATACATTCGAAGAGACAGACGATATCATCGCAAACTCCAAATCGCACAGCTTTTCCCCACCAGCCAATTCAACATCTACGTTTTGAAGTCCCCTTAGTGCGCTCTCCAGTATTTCGTCAAAGACCAAGTTGAACAGAAACGGCGAGAAAGGGCACCCTTGACGAACTCCGCTGCTGGTGAAAAACGGCCTACTTAGTTCGTTGTACACCCTTACACGACCGGAGGTATGTAGGTACAGTGACTGCAGTAAGTTAACGTACTTTTGGGGCATTCCTTTTCGAAAAAGGCAGTCAATCAGACCTTCGTGGTCAACTGAGTCGAAAGTTCCTTCCAGGTCAAAGAACACTGCGATTGTTGCCCTGCTTAGTGGTTGGACACCCAGTAGTACCCGTCCATCAAACCCCAATGCACACAAAATA